TCTATCGCGGACGGACTAGTTCGTCCGTGTAGTCATGTTTTTTGTTCTCACTTCGTCACAGAAGGATGAAATGAAACTCCGCACTACTCTAGTCTAGTTCCAACTCGGCGACTTGTGGTTGTTGTGTTTGTTGTTGCTGAGCCCACTTCGGATACCGCCGTTCGGTACAGATGTCTGACAGCCTGCGGTGGGTCAAAGGGACGAGAGTGAGTGAGTGTCTTCTCGAGAGTGAATGCCTTGTCTTCTCTCCGCTCTCTTCTTTTAGTCTACCTGTCCCTCTCTCGCCTTTCGCCGGTGGGGTCCCAACAATATCGAACTACGTCAACCTCAACCGCAGTGGTTTCGCATCTTGCTGAGTAAGAGACTACCCGTGCACCGGGCTGCAGCATGAGAGGCGATGTGCGCTACCTGTTTTATGTCAAGCAATGGACTTGGGGCCCTACCTAATGCTGGACATGCAGTGCTATGTCACATGTTCCAGCGGCCCAGAGCGAGCGACGACCACGGTGGGTTTTCTATGCTTCTTTTTTTGCCTCCTCCCTCAAGCCTGTCGCGCCTGGCTCACTTGTCTTTGATCTTCTGTTTTCTTTTTTCATGCTTTGTTTGTTGGGGTCCCCCAGCCACCCGCCCACCATTATTTTTTGTTGGGAGGGGTGTTTACTTGCCATGTTCATGACTGGGCGCCGGACTTTTTACTCGCACCCCGTCCATTCCACTTGTCAACACACCACCACATCCTATTGTACCATGCCCACCGACACGTCCAAGGCTTGGGGAATTTTGAAGCTTTAGCTTCAGTCTCATCGTTCAATATCCGTGGAAGTTTCATTCGCATGCCCCACCCCTTGCCCGACCCGGCCTAAAGTGCTGACCTCGAGCTACAATGCAAATCTCGTGGCGCCTCGAGTATGGTTCGATGCGGAATCGCAAGTCATGAGCCGTCCCCGAGTTTGAGCGGCTTCCGCCTCCTGTGGCCGGCAAGAGTCGGCCTTGACTGTTCCTTCCCTGCTTCGCCATGGAAATGGCCGGTTGAACAGCGAAAGAGGGTCCTGCGGGCTGAGCGCCACATTTTGTTGTTTTTTGCGTTTGTTCTTGAGTGACCCTTGTACACATGCGGCTGCTGCTGCGGTTTCTGCTGTTATGGTCGGAATGTGCTGCAATGGTCGTACGGTTATCGTATTCAGGTTTGACAACAGTCTGCTCGTTCGTATAGCGGTAGCGGTGCATCTATCGCGACGGCAGGCGCATTGAGATAATAGTTCGTCCGTCGTGCTTCCAGTCTACAGAGACAGATAGTCGTGTTCTTCTTTGTTGCCATTTTATACTTGTACCAGAAAACAAAGAAAGTCTCCACCAACTTACAGTATCTCCACAGCAGTTCGGAAACGACGACTATTTTTCTTTTGTCGTGTTTGTTGTTGCTGAGCGCACATCGGATGTCGCCGTTCGTTACACGTGTTCAAGCCTGCGGTGGGCCAGAGGGATGAGAGTGGGCGTCTTCTCGACGAGAGTTCATGCCTTGTCTTCTCGAGTCTCTCTTCCTTTAGTCTACCTCTTTTTCTCTGTTGCATTTTCGCCGGGCGTTAGGGTCCCAAAAACATCGAACGTCAACGGCAATCGTTTTGCGTCTTGCTGAGTAGGAGGCTACCCGTGTACCCGGCTGCTGCATGTGAGGCAATGGGCGGCGCCTCTTTCCGGCAAGCAATGCGCATGGCCCCTACGGTTCGCCGCACATGCAGTGCTGTGTGACAGCTTCCAGCGGTTCAGAGCGTCGACGGTGTTTTTCGCCGGTAGAGCCCCAGGACAACGCGAACCCCGCGACTGTTTCATTGTTTGGGGTCCCCCACTCACCCACCCATCCATGAATTTCAGCAGTTTTCGTTGGGGCATGTTTTTCTTGTCATGTCCATGACGTGGTGCCCCGAACGAGTATGGTTCGGTAGGGACTCGCAAACCATGACCCCTCCCCGAGTTTGAGCATCATCTTCGGCCTCCTGTGACGAACAAGAAGACCGGAAATTGTCTCGCCATCCAAACAACAGTTAGTTGGCCAGTTGAAAAAAGAGGGTCCGGTCCGCCGAAGATTTTGTTTTTATGTTTCCCTGCCGACAAATAGCCTCGGCTACGGCGGCAGTGCAAATCTCATGGCGCACCAAGTACGCTTCCGGAGGGAATTGCAAATCACGACCTCTCCCCGACTTTGAGTATAGCTTCCACCTCCTGCGGCGGATAAGACCGACGTCAAACCCTAGATTTTGTCTGTCTGTGTCGCCATGTCGTCGCCATCCACGAACAGCAGCTTGGAGAGTCACAATAAAGAGGGTCCGCTTCGCCACCAAGAAAACAGTTTTTTTTTTCGATTCTTCTACAGCTGGATATGATGCTACCATGTATCGGGTATAGCTGTGGTTGAGCTTGAGGGGTATAGGGTCTACGGCAGCATATTCTATGCGAAGAGTTAACGCCTTCCTCGCGTTGGCAAGCAGAATGGATGACGTCATCATGACGCTATTTCTTGTGACTACAAGTTCAAGTTTGCCCGGGCGTTATTGTTCTTGGGAGAAAGAGACTAAACTTCTATTACGTACCAGTTCGTGCATGTATCCGGCTACTGCATGTGAGGTAGTGGGTGCTGCCCCTGCTGTTTGCTGCGGTACATGGAAAGCTTCCAGTGGGTCAGAGCGGCAAGGGGGTCTTGTTTCTTCACTTGTTTCTTAGCTCTGGTCTCCTCTACTTCTTCTTTGTTTCCTGTCCCTGGCGGTCTCTCTTTTGTTCTTGCTTGCAAGAAACTGTGAGGATGGACATGAGCTACTACTGCTGCGTCCATGGATGGGTGCAACAGAAGAGCTCCGGGGACTGGTGGTCTTCTGACCTGATCGCAGAGAGAGGTTCCTGCCACTACCACAATACGACTCTTATGAAATGTCCATGACGGGGAACGCGTCCTACGCCTCTTCTCTTTTCTTTTTTCCCTCTCTCCCGTCCGGTTCTTTCGTTTCGGAGAGGAAACCTGCTGTGAAAAGCGCATCTTCTGGGGTCCGCATTCATTTAGATAGTCCCGGATTCTTTCCCAGCGTGCGGAAGAGCGCGTTCTGGGTGTGGTCTCCTTTTCATTCGAGTGTGACTTGCGCACTACATGTATGTATGTAAACGAGAAAGAAACAGATCAACGAGATGATTCTTGAAAGCATGGAGTCCCTCGCCACAAAAAAGTGCATGCGCATGGATGGGCGTAGTGCGATATGCCGGTCGAAGACTGACGGTTTTTTCGGGTGCGCGTGAGGTCGCCTCTAATAATCGTTTGCTCATTTTTTGCTTCATTGTCCAGTCTATAGTTACTACCTCGCATAGCGTTTGAAGCGAGCGGAGGGTCCTAGACTAATCTAATCTGTCGTTGACTTTCGGACCCTTCTTCGGGTCCATTTTATTTTCGTATAACTTTTTTGGTTAAGTTAGCCTGTGACCACGGCGGGAATCGACCGCGTCAAGTGTCAGACTATCATACATCACAGTACGAACAGACGAAGAAGGTACAAGAAGGTACTGGGTAGAGAGAACAGAACGAACGGTTTTTTGTAAGTAATTGTGAAGACAACAACATTGAACGCACTGACTGCTGGGTTCGTCCATGGATCGTTTTTGCAGCACTTTTTTTTTTTAAGTATTTGTGTATTATTAAGCGACTTCTTCCTGGATGGGTAATGGGAGGTTTCAATTCAACTATTTACTACAATAACTTGTACTTACCGGAGTATGGAGGTGCTCGTTGTTCTTATGCATGGCATGTACCGGCAGTAGCAGGTGACATAATATATCGCATCATCATCATTCACAGCTAATAATGTTAGTCGGCGACGACGAGGATGTCAAACGATAGGTTTGTTTCGGAAAGAAGCTATCAGTGCCAACGCCGCCCGGCCACGATTTCTGCTGTGGAGTAATCGAGCTTTGAAAATTAAAAATTGTTCAGGGGGTGTGATATCTTATGCCAGCTACTCCGTGTATTTAACTCTTTGTCGTGCTCGGTGGGCGAGCGTGTCGCGGTGTGCGCCCTCGACTTTATTAACGGCTAAAAGACTGGAAAGCTTCAGACAGGCAACGCGACGATACTCGTCGAGTTGCTATCACAATCGAATATTCCAGTATTGAAAATCGGTCCAGGGTGTGTGATGCCTTACGCAACCTCAGTCGCAACTATAGCTGCTGTGCTCGCGTGTTTGTTTAAGCTACGTGGTCTACAGTTCGCTCAAGATTAAGATTTCAGGTTTGGAAACACCGCTCTTTTTGGCTGGAGAATGCTACAAAGTTGTTTTGCAACTTTGCTTGGGAACTTTGTCAGTAACACTTTTGGAAAATATGTAGTCTGTGAAAACGCGCTGAGCTAGTCACCCATAATGCCATTGGTGTCTCTGTGTCTCGCTGCCGTCTGTGTGCGCGTCGCTCCCTATAGCAGCCTCACCTCTCGAACACGTGCTCATTGATCTGCGATGCAATCGAGCTTGTCGAAATGCGGAAGGTTCACTACGGCATTTTCGCGGGCTACTAAAGGTTGCTGACGAGCTCTCTCGCTCACCTTCGACTCCCTTTGACGTGCCTTCAATCCTTGAGATGGGAGTCCTTTGTTGGTGGAAAAGCACAGCAGAGGAACGGGAACGGAGATTGGGTGTACTGTTAATTCCGCCGCCGATTATCTCCGCAACGCCAAAGCGACTGCTGCTGTTTTGGTACCTGAACACTGATTACACATGTGGCTTCCAAGAACAGAGAGCCACATCGCGGCAAATGTACGTCGTGTTGGTTGGAGTAGGTGAGGGGCAGACGACGAAATAGTTCCCTGCCGGGACACACCCTTCAGCACTGCGGGACGTTTTGTCAAATTCGACGAGCTCGACAAAAGCAAGCAAGCCTTGTCCCCTGCAACGCAACGAAACGAGGTCGCCGGATGTGACAAATTTTGGGGTCCGCCCAGATTGCACTACATTGCACCCTCTCGCGCGTGTGTAGGTTGCGCCACCAGCGTTGTGCGCATCTGGCGTGCTTCTCTAACAGCGGCATGGAGGAACCCCTGACATCGAGCGATCACCTCAGAAGCAGCGAAGGAGGGGCGGAAGGTGCGGCCTGGCGACCTGCGGAAGAGAGTAGAGGTGAGGTGATTGAGCCGCAAAGAGCGCAACGAAAACAGCAGCCGCGACGAACGAGAGGGGGAGGCTCACCCTCTGCTGCACAACCAGCACGCCAATTGCACACGGTCGGCGAGTGAACCAAGGATTGCGGCGCATTGTGTGGCCTTCCCACGATTGAGTACGTCCCTCGGGTGGAACGGGGCGAAGGCACAGCAGACACCAAATGATACCTCTGAGATGAAGGTGTCTTCAATTTTATCGAAAGGTGCATCAACCGCCCGCGAGCGGATGCACGTATTACTTGTGAAGGATCAAAGGATACAACCTGTTCACCTGTTACATTCTGTGGACATGGCGTCGAGTCTCAAACCCAAACATCACTACAGAGGGTTTCGGTGGCGTACTGTACAGACATGGCAGTTTTCGTGGTGAGGTGTTACAGCAGTTGTTTTATGAGGTTTGAACCTTTTTGCTGTATCCGCCCGTCTGTCTACTTTTATAGGCACGCTTTCCGTCTTTCCGTGAGGCTGGGGATTCGCGCGACTTTTGAGTCACCAACGATACAAGTACGGTGTAGTCGGCCATTCAGCTGACACGTGTTGCTACAGCAGTCCGCATGTCGGTGCTGTGTTCGCCTGTGTCGGGCAATACCTTCCGACGGTCTTTTCCACCGTTAGGCCATTCCTCACGGTGTCTTTTTTCGACCCAAAAAGGGATCTATAATACAACAAATATGACCCCCTTCTTACCGTATATGACACAAGATAACATACCCGCTGGACCGATTTTCAAAGCTCGATTTATCAACAGGAGAAAGAGTTGTAGCGCCGAAAAGGGAGGCGTTGAAACCGTCTGGTCGAGAGCTATTCGAAAACGCATTGTTTCGTTTATGCGTCTCCTTCGTCGTGGAGTGATCGAGCTTTGAAAATCGGTCCAGGGGGTGTGTTATCTTGTGTCACATACGGTATGGTGTTGGTCGATCTTTTCTCGGCAGAGCACCCATAAATGGGGCATTTTTTTTGTAAGACAAGGAAGAACTTCTAACAATTATCTATGTTTTAGAGGGGTAGAGCCGGGTAGATGCTCACCTCCCACCAATCACCCGTCGATTTTGCAAGACATTTTGTAAGACAGAGACAGATGATTGGGCGATGGGCACGACGCTCTCGGCAGAATCACCGAAATCCTCTTGCACAGCAGCACCATACATGTACACATCACGTAGACAACATACGATACAACCAGCACAGCGGCATACGGACTGCTGTAGGCCAAGGGCAGCCAAAGGCACACATCATGGGAGGCGTTGGGTATGACTCTTGCAGCCCGTTGCCTGCTGTCGGCAGCACAAGCGAGTGACGACGCAGGTCAATCCGCGGTCCGTCTGCATCACCCTCAACCTACTGATCTTTCTTTGGAGCTTCCCGCACAGACGCATCCCCACAACAGAGAAAACGAGACCTACACACTGCTGTAGGCCAAGGCCGGCCAAAGGCACACATCATGGCTGGCGTCGGAAGCTATTTATAGACCCCGAGGCCTACTGCTAGCAGCGTCAGCGAGGCAACATGCGAGTGCACACAAGTCAGATCTCTGTCTGCGGTCTCTTCGTCTGCCGGCCGATCTTTGCTTCCACAACAGACGCACCCAGAGACAGAGACAAGTGGGACGTACACAGCGCTGTGAGCCAAGGGCGACCAAATACACACGTCGTGGGAGGGGTCCGGGCCAATTTTAGAGCCCGTTGCCCTCTACTAGTAGCGAAAGCGAAGAAAGCAAGTGCGCACCCCCATGCACAGCAGCAGCGGCGGCGGCGGCAACAACAGCAGCAGCAGCAGCAGCAGCAGCACTGCTGCCGCTGAGCTGATGATGATGAGAGCTAAACAGCGCTCCCATTCATCCCCTGACTGACTGGTGGTACCGGGTGTGGTGTGAGCGTGCGCACTGGTGACCTACGTGGTGGGGTAGGCTCCGTCCATATCTATCTGCGCTTGCTTTGATATCTCTCTCCGACCCTTCTTTTCGCGCTTCGCGCGAAATAATTTAATTTCTTTTTGTTGGGCCCCTATGTATGGGAGGGGAGCCTTTGTCTCTTCCGAGTCATCGACAGATAAAAAGAGACCCTACAACGGCCGTTGTCATATTCTTATATAACCCTTCCACCGCTTTGGTTTTTCGGCGATATATCCGCACAGAGTGAAGCAGCAGCAACTGTAAGGCTATCCCTCGCGAACTGTGGGTATGGTCCATCTTTTGTGGCTGCTGATAGAGACCAAGGGGCGATAGGAGGCACGGAAACTGAGGTGGCGAAAGTCACCAGCACGCTGAAAAAATGCCCACCGCTCCAGGAAACTCCAGCAACCAGTTTTTTTTTCTCTTTTGCCCGTGTCGCAACTTTGGTTTACCGGTACTCCCTCGCCACCCACTAAAGCAACAGCGATGACAAAGGTATGCGCCACAAGCTGTGTGAATGGTCCGTCTTGTGTGGTGACTGATACAGACCAGGAGGCTTTAGGGCGCTCAGAGATTGTGAGCGCGAGAGTTGCGAACAAGCGGGAAAAATGACCCGCCGCATCTTCAAGCAGCTTTTTTTGCTCCTTTGCATGTGTCGCAACTTTGGTTTAGCGGTACTTCCTCGCCACCCACTCAACCAACAGCGATGAGAAAGATATGCGTCACGAGCTGTGCGTATGGTTCGTCTTGTGTGATGGCTAATACAGACTAGGAGGCGGTAGGGCGCTCAGAAGTTGGGTTCGCAAAGTTGACAGTACACGAAAAATGACCCACCGCTGCTGCGTCCAGGCTCTCTCGGCTTGTTTGCCAATCGGGTCGTTCACGTGGTCCAGCCGAATGAAAAAACAACGGCTACCGCCGGTGCTACCGACCCTGTACCAGCCACATGGCACACCTCGTGTGACCACCGTTAGGGTTTGCGGGGATCAACCGTGGAGAGATTCAAGTTTGTAGGTAGGAGTCATGCGGTTGTGGCCAAAAAAAGATCACAGAAAAAGACAGCCCCGACTTATCCAAATCTGCCCCAGAAAAAGACAGGATGGGCTGTCCAAAACGGGTTGTCTTTTTTTGTTGACCTTTTTTCCCTGAAAAAAAAGACCGTAAGAAGGGGTTCTGTGGCCAGTTGTCTTTTTTTGACAAGGAAAAAAGAAAAGACAGCTTCAAAAAGAGTCGTAAGAACTGGCCTTATACAAGGGTCTTCGCGAAAAAAATTCCGGGCACATAAGGGGGAGGAATTCGAAAAATTACCACGAATCGTCGAAAGGCTACCATGAGGCTTAAATGGATTTCAAACATGCCTCGCTCTCGTTACTCGTTCCGCATCTGCTCGTCAGAAGCCGGCCCACGCTCAGCCGTGCTATAGGAACACAACTTACCTGCCTTGTAAACTTGCCTTTGCCGCTTCTAGCACTGCACAACAGGGAACATAGTCTCGCAAATCTACTCGTAGCCTTGGTCTTGTAGGGTTACGTTTGACTTGATCGATCTACCCCGCTTGCTCATGCGGACCCCTGCTTGCGAGTTCTCGCGCGGTGCCTCGCTACGTTCTCTGCGAGCCGGTCGCCTCTTGCGTTTGCTTTCCACCCCCCCTGCCCGTCCTTCTTCCTCTTCTGCTTCATTTTCGTCGTCGTCGTCATCTTCGTCATCGTCGTCGTCCTGGCCCTTGTCCTCGTCCTCGCCGTCTTCTTCCTCGCCCTCGTCCTCCTCTCCTTCCTCCTCTTCCTCCTCTTCGTCCTCCTCGCCCATGTTCTCCAAGGACCGGGTGCCGGCCATGTTACGGCCAAACGAGCCGTTCCCTTCCGTGCTCCCAAGTGCGCCAGAGGGAAGGCCTTCGCTTCCCTGACCATGTCGGCGAGGCTTCCCGGCTTTAAATTTGTTGAGTACCTTGACCTTCTCGCTCTCCGAGATAGTGTAGGCCTCCTTGAACTTATCGGCCTCCGTACCCGTCGCCACAAGTATGTCCTCCTGGTGGCATCTTGTGATGTGCTCGGACATGCCATACTTCCAGATGTAGTTGTCCTGGGAGGAGAAGAATCACTTCAAGACCATGTTGGTGCACGGTGAGGTATCTGAGCCCACCCTCGCACTGCTCAGGTTCAGAGCTACGGTCTCCTCGCGTGCGTCGCTCCGAGGCGCTGATGGGCAGGTCGAGTGCACCAGGGGCCTGGCCTTGCCCGGTGGATCGTGAAAGGTGCTGCGGCACCCGACGCCACCACAGAACCCGCAGACAGTGCTCACCTGCTGTCAAACATCGCCGAGTGGGTGCTGTTACATGTGTGGTGCTCTGTACAGCAGTAGCGACAAAGAAGCGAGGATGGATTGCTTGTGGTGGCTCCGCGAGCAGTGTTCCGCGAGCAACTTATCGTCAGCAAGAAACAATCGTTTGACACAAGATACCACACCCCCTGGACCGATATTACTCCACAGCAGTATAGCAAGCTTACTGAGTATAGAAAAAAGAGAGGCCATGCCAAGAAGGGCGGTGTTGGAAATGCCTCGTGGAGGTCTTTCCGAATAACCAACAACTATTAGAAATATTTGATTTTGGCATCCTCTTCGTGGAGCATATTACTGCAGTAGTCGAGCTTTGAAAATCGGTCGAGGGGGGGGGGTGGTATCTTGTGTCACCTACGGTAATTGCGGAGAAACCAAGCTTGCTTTGGACAAACAACACACCAAGCGCACACGTTATCCTGTAGCGTGAGGCCTACCCATCGGCGAGATACCTATCGTCAGTTGAGGGTGAAGCGGTTGTCACAGCCTGATAACCTCTCCCGTGCACACCACTCGAGGTGACGCCGCTGTGATCTACCTGTACCAAACCAGATCTGCAACACCCGCGTTCAGCGGGATGGACCTACCATGGTTTCCCGCCGATTGCTTCAGGTTCATGCTTCACAAAGAGGAGATGGTGGAAACCAATTCTGTCTGGGGCTACTATCCTGTGCTTTTTGCCCTGCTCGTGACGATCCACGTCTGCTTGTCGGGTGCCCTCCGTATGCTTCCCGAATATGTGTTTGCACGTGCGACATCGCCATCCATGTTCCTCTGACCAATCAGCCACACGGGCGCTGGCGGGCTAGCGGCAGCTCCTTGGTTCTCGTGGGGGTATGCATGAGACGATTGCGAAGACGTCCCTGTAGTGCGCGGGGTGTCTGCCATCTATCGGTGTTCTCCACAGCTACACAGCGCCAGCAGCGCCAACGTGATGCACACCGCCGTGAGAGAGCCGGACGCCAAAGCGCCGACGCCTCGGGGGAAAACCCGGGGATACATGGGTAAATGTCCCCGCCCCCCCCAAAAAATCACTCCCCCGGTGCCGCCATCGGGGATGGGTTTTGGTCGCTTGGCAACGACGTTGTAAAAGAAGCCGCTCCCACCGGTGTTTGCCATCGGGGTTGGGTTTTCGTCGCTTGGCAGCGATGTTGTGAAACAAGCTGATCACTTCGTGAGCTCGGCAACCAGGTTACCGCTTTTTTTTTTTTGCCTTTGTTTTCTTTTTGCGGTACCTATGAATGGTTGTCGAGTAGATTACGTTGTGCGGGGTCGAGTAACCTCACTCCGCGCAAGGGGGATGATCGCACCACGTTGTGTTAAAATGGTCAAGCATCCTCGAGGCAGTTACACAGCGCTTCCAACTGTCTCTGGAAGTCAAAGCACCAGAAAATAGATTAAGTCATACGCAGCTGTCATCCGTACGCAAGGAAGTAAGCACAAGATGCCGAACACCCTTAGCAGGATGCAGCGCACCCTTCATGCGACTCGCCGAATACCTCACGGCGCTTCACGCTTGGTGATGTGAGAGCCTGGTCCGGTGAGAACCCGGCGTGCTCCGTCCCGGCTTTGTAGGGATGCGAGGTCAATGTTCTAACGACTGCGGCATGCACGACTATGAGTACCCCCCCCCCCCCCCAAATGACCCCGATTTTCCATTAGTAGGCCCATGTGTCTTGAATTTTTTTCGCACAGACCCTTTGCGTTACACCAAATAATAATTATCTATGGGTCAATCACGAAGAGTGCTGCGCACGGGGACTACAGTTTTCCCGAGATGGTTGCTGCCGTAATATCCGCACCGGAAGTGAATTTCCGTAGACCACAGCAGAACCATGGTAGTTGCTGATATGCATACGAATACACCACCGTTACTTAGAAAATATGTACATTTTACAACCAAAAAAAGAATTACCCCTGGGCAAGGGCGCACAAAAAATATTTTTTCTGACACCTAAGACCCTTCTTTTTGGAAACATAATCTTGCAATTATATCTTGGCATTTTGACCCAAGATTTGCTCACAATATATTTCCGCGAAGATTTGCAGTATCGCGATTTATGGGGGGAAAATCTTGAATGTTGAAAATGCGGCGTGTTGTTCCTCTCTTCTGCGTGAAGTTGAAAAAGGCACAACGGCCACTTGGTCCACGGAAGATGCCAAGGTGTGGCGAAACGTGAGCATGACGCAGTTGTAGAAGGGGCATCCCTCCCCCAGCTGTATTGCCTCCACACTGTGGGTGGATACTAGCGATGGGCGCCTACCTGGGGTGCAAAATTGAATCCGTTGCCCACGAGCTCATGTCAAGCGGAGAAAACTGTTCTATTGCTGTCCAACTGACAAGAAAGTGCATCAACCCGAGGCCGATGACACCCATGCACGTATCTCACGATGCAGCAGGCGTACCGAGGTCAAACCTCCGGCGCTGTTATCTGCACCCATGGATTTGGCTCGGGTGCAAACGGATTGGGTGTGGGGTGATTCGATGAAGAGATAGAAGCGTCGCACACGACAGAGCAGTGTTGGCAAAACGTTCCTCCTGCAAATTTTTTCTACTTCAAAATAAAGTACTCTTTGAACGGCCCCTCGACAGACCGGTGATGACGCACGTGGAACGAGCCAGGGCAAATACGCATTCTTTTCGCGCGCCTTGGTTGTTTTCGTTCGCTGTCGGCGCCCGTGGCGCCGACACAGTGACGCCAGGGTGCGTTAGAGACCCTTGCGAGTGTGCCACGTGCAGATTTCATGGCGTTATGGACGATTAGGTCGACTGACCTTCGGTGATCGCGCCGCACTGAGGCAAGATTTGTTACGCCGCCTCAAGATTTGTCGGAAGGCTCGTTTCGACAGATCTTGGGTCAAGATTTGTTCGAAAGGGCAGATTTCGGGCCTCGAGAAATCTTGGCCAAGATATATCGGAAGATTTTGCTCCCATAAATCGTGAAACTGGCAGATCTTGGCCAAGATCAAGATTTATCGACAAGATTTTGTTCCCATAAATCGGGGTCTAACCCCCCCGCCCCCCCCGGGGGTGCGAAAAAAGTTTTTTTTTCAGTGGAAAATTTTTGTATAGGCTTTCTGGGCTTTCTCCCTCTCCATTGCGTGTACTTGCGTGTGGTGGTGTTTACGGCACGACGTGTACGCAGGACCTTGTTACCAGGAAGGTGTAGATTGCTAACACTCTGAGCCGAAATATAAGGCATACATTTGGGCGAGAAGACTTAAATCTATGAGTGGACGTCTATTTCGCAGATCGCGGGTTCGAGCCCCGGCAACAAGCTACCTTTTTTTCCATTTGAGCAAGAAATACATTTCAATTTATTTGTTTTCATTTGTTTTTCGTGGCCCAAAATGGCAGCTCAGTTGTCCTCTGTCCCATTTTCGCCGGTTGAGTTGAAAAACACTGTATAATATGAAAGGACGTTGGTGATATTGAAGGCCAGAGTGCCAGCAGAAAACTCACAAAAACAATATGACGCAAATATGTAAGTCTTGCCCCATACGAGCACTTTGAAAAGGTCAATTTTCCGAAGCGAAAAATCCTGAGCATCCCCCGTTATCCCCCGGGGGGGGTGATAACGACCTGTCCCCTTTTTTTCAGGGTGGCATATCACATTCATTCATTATGTGTGTGTTGTAGGAGTATTGCCGTGAACGTATTCCGGTCTATAATCATGTCTGGCACATCAAACTCTAAATATCCCTTATATTCCGGTAACCCCCAAGTGTCCCATATATTTCGGCTCAGAGTGGTACTTCGAAATAAGCTGTGACGGTCTGGGGACACTTCTAATTTGTTTTTCGAATCTTGAAGTACAACGTTAGTTCTTGAGGACAACCCCTCACCTACAAGTAACTCAGAACTTCTCAAAGCCTCTGCGACAAGTCCACGACATTTATTTGACCTTGGGCGAATATTATGGCGAAATAACACAACCACAAATGACACACCAGAACCAAATGACACATACGTCGAAACTTCATCATTCCAAGCTTACACAAGCCGGCAACATACCGAAGAGGGGCTGTCGATGAGCCTACGGCGGTGGCATCACCTTCGCCACGTGCAACACCCAATGTCATCCACAATTGCAATTTGCCTTGCATTGTACTTACTATTCACTCCGCGAAGCCCCTCTACCTCCCTCAACCAAGACAAAATCGTCGTTTCTTCGAGCGCTTTCGCGTCGAGCGCCTTCGCCCTCCATCCTCCTCCCACGGAAAGTATGCTCGTCGTGACCACTCTCCCCAAGCCCTCGCTCTCTCTTTCTCCCCTCTGCTACGGACGGTACCGCGGCTGGCTGCTGGCTGCGGTCCGCTGGAGCAGGGGCTACGTGGATTGTACTACCCCCTTGCATGAAATGTGCCCCCGTTATATATAGGATTTAGTATGGAATTGTTTGTATAGGAAATTATGTGGCGTTTGGGGGGGGGGGGG